TATGTTCTTCCATTTTTGTAAGTGTCTTTTGGTTTCTTGTGGTAGTGTTTTGTAGTGTTCTTTGTATAGGTTTTTTGTTTCTCTGGTTAGATCTATTCCTAGATATTTCATCCGTTGGGTGGCTATTGTAAATGGTGTCACTTTCCTAATTTCCTTTTCAGAGCTGTCATTTTTAGTATAGGAGAATTCAACTGAGTTTTGTTTGTTGATCTTGTATCTTGCCATTTTTCTGAATCTTTCAATGAGTTCCAGTAATTTTTTTGCTGTGTCTTTGGGGGTTTATCTGTATAGGATCATATCATCTGCAAATAGAATTTTACTTTTTCTTTGACAATTTGGATGCCTTTAATTTCCCAGTCTTGGATTATAGCTCTGCCTAAGACATCTAACACAATATTGAACAGGAGTTCTGATAAAGGGTGTCCTTGTCGGGTTCATGTTCACAAAGGGAAACCTTTCAGTTTCTCTCCATTGAGAGTGATGTTGGCTGTTGGTTTTGTATATATGCTCTTAATTATGTTGAGAAATTTCCCTTCAATTCCTACTTTGTTGAGTAGTTTTTTTTTTTTTTTTTTTTAATCAGGAATGGATGTTGGATTTTACCAAATTCCTTTTCTTCATCAATTGATACAATTATGCGATTCATTTCCCTTTTTTTTCTTCTTGATATGGTGGATTACATTGGTTTTCTAATAATTGAACTGTCTTTGCATCCCTGATATGAATCCCACTTGATCATGATGCATTCCTTTTGATGTTACTGAATTCTACTTGTTAGGATTTTATAGAGAATTTTTGTATCTATTTATATGAAAAATGCTGTTGTTGCTGTTAAGTGCCATAGAGTTGGTACCGACCCATAGTGACCTTATGCACAGTAGAATGAAACACTGCCTGATCCTGGGCCAACCTCAATATTGTAGCCACGCTTGATCCCATTGATGCTGCCACTTTGCCAATCCATCTCACTGGGGGTCATCCTCTTTTTTTCTGATCCTTCTTCACCTTCTCAAACATGATATCCTTTCCCAGCGACTGGTCCCTCCTGACAATATGTCCAAAGTATGGGAGATGGAATTTGGCTATCCTGGCCTCCAAGGAGCATTCAGACTGCACTTCTTCCAACACAGATCTATTTGTTTGTTTATTGGCAGCCCATAGCACTTTCAACATTCTCCTCCAACACCATAACTCAAATGCATCAATCCTTCTACAGTCTTTGTTATTCACTGTCCAGGTTTCCAATGCATATGAGGCTATTGAAAAGACCAAGGTTTGGGTCAGGTGTACCTTACACCTCAAGCTGACATCTTTGCTCTTCAACACTTTAAAAAGGTCTTGTGCAGCACATTTGTTTAATGCAATATGTCATTTGATTTCTTGACTGCTGCTTCCATGAGTGTTGATGGTTGATCCAAGAATGAAGTCCTTGACAACTTCAATCTTTTCTCCATTGATAAGAATGTTGTTTATTGGTCCAGTGGTGAGGATTTTTGTTTTCTTTATATTGAGATGCATTCCATACTGAAGGCTGTGCTCTCTGATCTTCATCAGTAAGTATTTTAAGTCCTCTTCACTTTCAGCAAGCAAGATTGTATCATCTGCATATCGCAGGTTGTTAATGGGTCTTCCTCCAATCCTCATACCATGTTTTTCTTCATATAACCCAGCTTCTTGGATTATTTGCTCAGCATACAGGTTGAATAAGTGTGGTGAAAGAATACAACCTTGTTGCACACCTTTCTTAATTTTTAAACCATTCAGTGTTCCCATATTCTATTAGAAAAACTGCCTCTTTGCCCATGTACAGTTTCCTCATGAGCACAATTAAGTGTTCCGGAATACTCATACTTCACAATGTTTTCCGTAGCTTGTCATGATCCACATAATTGAAAGAGATATTCATCTATAATTTTTGTTTTTAGTAATGTCTTTTCCTGGTTTGGGGATGAAGGTTATGCTTGCTTCATAAAATGCATTCAGATGTTATCCATCCTTCTCTATGTTCTAGAATAATTTGATTAGAATTGGTAACAGCTTTTTCCTGAATGCTTGGTAAAACTCACTAGTCAAGCCATTTGGACCTGGCCATTTTTTCACTTGGGAGTTTTTGAATAACCTGATCAATTTCTTCTTTTGTTTTAGGTCTGTTCAAATTTTCTACTTCACTCTGTGTAAGTTTAGATAGGTCTAATTTTATTATAAAAATGTATCTATGTCCCCTAGATTTTCAAATGTATTGGAATACAACTCTTCATAGTGTTCTGTTATTATCTTTTTTATTTCCATTGGTTCTGTTGTGACATCACCCATGTGGTTTCGTATATGAGTTGTTTGTGTGTTCTCCCTCTCTTCCTTTGTTAGTTTTGCTAATGGTTTGTCAATTTTATTAATTCTTCTAAGAACCAGCTTCTTATCCTGTTAATTCTTTGTATAGTTTTTCTATTTTCTATCTCGTTTATTTCTGCTCTAATTTTTATTATTTCTTTCCTTCTGTTGACTTCAGGTTTACTTTGCTAGTCTGTTTCTAATTGTTGGAGATGCTGTACTAATGTGTTGAGTTTGGTTCTTTCTTCTCTTTGGATGTGTGCGTTTATTGCTATAAATTGTCCTTCAGCACTGTTTTTGCTGTGTCCCAAAGATTTTGGTATGTTGTGTTTTCATTCTTATTTGTTATGTTCTGGACTCTTCCTTCTGTTGATTGATTTCCATGTGGTTTAGCCACATATGACTATCTCTGGTTGTTTTCTGTTCTTGTTGGATCTCAGTCCAAAGAACTCCCTTTAAGATTTTTTTAAGTGCTTGGTTAGCTTTGACAATGTCCCTTTGATTCTGTTTATCCTGGGATGTTTTGATTATACCATTGTATTTGATTGACAGCTTTGCTGGGTTAACCATTCATTGTTGGCAGTTTTTTTCTTTCAGGGTTTTAAATATGTCTCTCCATTGCCTTCTTGTCTGCATGGTTTTAGCTGAGAACTCAGAGCTTAATTTTATTTACTTGCCTTTGTAGGTAACACTTCTTTTTTCTCTAGCTGCTTTCAGAATTCTCTCCTTGTCTTTGATTTTAGACAGCTTGATTATGGTATGTCTCAGTGATTTTTTTTTTTGCTGGGGGGGGGTAGTTTATCCTTCCTGGGGTTCATTCAGTTTTTTGAATGCTTATCTTCTCATTTTTTAGGATGTTGGGGAAATTTTCTCTTCACCTATTTTCTCTGCTATTTCCTATCATTCTTCCTATTCTTGGACTTTAATAACCCTCAGGGTATTCCTTTTCATGTTGTCCCACATGAATCAGATTTTATTCAGATTTTTTAAAATTATTTTTTCTGTTCTTTCTTCTATCCTAGCAGTATTGAGAAATTTGTCTTCAAATTTGCTAATTCTGGCTTCCATCCCTTCGTTTCTATTCCTTTTCCCTTTCAGTGTGTTGTCCATTTCTGATATTTTATTATTAATCATTTGTATCTCTTTTTGTAGATTTGGAATTGTTTCCAATGCCATTTGTGTCTTATTTCATTGTTCCTGTAATACTTTCCTGAGTTCTTCCTTATTTTTCTCAACCCTTGTATGAAAAATTTGGATGCATCTTAATATCATTCTCCTGAATTCCTTTTCAGGCAGTTCCAAACATGTCCTCCTTCCAATAGGAATTCTAGGTCTATCTCTAGCTCATTTGTTTCAGCTACTGCATCTTATTTCTGGGCATAAGCAGAAATTTTCTGTTGACTTTCAGGCATTGTGGTGCTGTTGTCTTTTCAATAATTAGATGAATGCATATTGTTGTATCATTAAGGTTTCTGATTGCCTCTCAGTTGATGTGATTAGGAGATGGCCGTCTCTTTTCACTTCTCTTATTACTCAACTTAGAATAATTTTAGCAGGTGTTGGTTATTTACACTGCTCTGATGTATAGCAGCTTGTATTGTTTCTTGCCCAGATGGTGGAATTTTATAGGGTGCAATTGTAGGTTGGCTGTATGAGTGCAATTGGTGTCTCTTCTTGGGTAAGGTAAGGACAGAAAGAGTCCCCCCATGGTAAAAGGGGGGCAAAATAAACATATTTGGTACTAAAGTCTACAATTGCCACAAAAAAACCCAAATAAACAAAATAAAACCTAAAGCAAAATATTAATAAGACTTTAACACTCCTTTTTCAGCTTCTTGCCTGAGAAATTCAGCTTCAGCTTCAGCTGCCTGAGACATTTCAGGATGTTCCCGTTGCACCCTATGATGTAACTCAGATTTAGTTTTTATCCTTTTCCCTTTTTTGCCTCTCTCACCTCTCCTCAAGCTGGAAGGTATTTTTCCTAATGAGAAACAGCCCAGGACTGGCCAGAGCCATTTTGGAAGACACTTCCATTTTAAGATGCTCCTGTTGACTCTTTCTCCTTCTTCGATTCTGGGCCCAGTGAACTTTGCTGAGCCGATCCATGGGCATGCGTGATAAAACCTTCCAAAGGAGAGGGGGCAGTACCCACTCACTCAGGTACCCCCTCTAGTCACTAGAGTGGAGGTGGGCAGGCAGAGAAATTAAAGATAAAAGAATGGAAAAATGTTCACACCTTTATCTCTGATGATTGGTGAGACCTCTGCGATATGACTCCTCTCTTGATCTTTTATCTGCTCCATCTTACTCAAAATGGTTGCACCTTGACTCTCTGGCCACCGTAAATCAGAAAGCACCACATTTGTTGCTTCTTCCTCAAATTGTACTCGCAGTAAGACTTTTATTCTCCTAAATATTCCTTTATATGGAGCTCAGAGTTCTGGGACCGTCCTTTTAACTTGTTTCATCCAGTTTTCTTTGAATTACTGGTGAAAGTCTTCACAGCCCTTCTCTCTAATGCACCATCAAACCCTAAGTGTATTTTTATTTCCAGAATCTGAACACTTTGAGCACTTGGAGGGCAGGGATCATGGTGACTTAACCTTTATATCCTCTGGCTCTGGCACATGGTAGATAATCCAATCAATGGTTGTTTGTATTTTTTCTTCTAGGTGGTGAAAACTATTGGCTTGAGGGAAGTTTGGTTCTTTGGTCTGCAGTACCAGGACACTAAGGGTTTCTCTACCTGGCTGAAACTCAATAAGAAGGTAAGTACTCATCCATTTATTGGGTTTAGAACTCATTCTTTCACCAAACTTGGTCAGAGGCATACAATTTGTTAGGTGGCAAACTCAAGGCATCCAAGAATGTGCTTTTTACTCAGCAATCAATCAGAATAAGGACAGAGGACTCATGTAAGGCAAAGCTCTTGTTCTGTGAGCACTTTGACTTTCAACAATGACAATGACCTACCAAGGAAGAAGTGACTCTTCCTTTTCCAGTGAAAGCTCTTTTTGATGTTTGTCTTCTTTTGGACCATAGCCATTAGTGGTACTTTTAAAAGGTTTCGATTCCTTAATTCCTTCTAACTCTCAAGGGGTCTAGGAAATTTGTAAAAATAAGAGTTTCAGACTCTTGAATTGGGCATTATCCTTAGTCTCATAGTCCTACAATTCACTTGCCCCACCCCATTCCCTCCTATAAAACAAAACAAAAGCATCAGGAACAAACAGCTGATGCATGAAGTGTCTCATACATACAGACAATTCCCTCCTTCTTGATCTTCCTCTATTGACTCCAAATGGGATGTTTTCTTGTTTCTGTTATTTTTTTTTTCAGACTTAAATATTTTTTAATTGTAAATGGAGTAAAGGTTTATAGACAACAACATTAGCTTTATAGTAAATAAATGTACACTTTGTTTAATTTCAATGATTGCAGCCCCCTCCTTGCAATAAGTTACCTTACTTCCTCCATGTGGTTCCCCATTTACATCTTATATTTCACAAATAAGCAAAGCAAAAAAAATTGTTGCATACATACAAAAAAAAAATTACCTATTCACTTAAATGTCCCAAGGGCACATTCTGCAAGTCAGCCTCTTGCTCACAACCTTACTCAGTCCATGGGCTTAGAGCCCACAACTGCTCTTTCTCTCCATGCCACTGACTCTTCCACCATCTTTGCTGTCACCACTTTTCTATGTAGGGATCTCATGCTCCACTCAGGCTCTTCCTTCTTGATGGACCTGGGATCATTTGTTTCTGAAATGAAAGACTAACTACTCCCCCCTTTTAATTCTACAACTTCTACAATTTCAGTTTTGATAATAAAAATTGGTCCTGCTAAAAATATTCACAGATGAATCGTAAAATACTATCAGCATCCCCTCACCTCCATTCAACAGAACCATCTGGAAAACAGGAAAACTATTCAGTGAAGCACCATTTATCTGTCAGTTTGTTGTACTGTGGTGCCGTGTGTGTTCCTGTGATTCTGGAAGATATGCCATGGATGTTTTAAATACCATCAGGGTTACCCATGCTGGACAGGTTTCAGTTGAGCTTCCAGATGAAGACAGACTAGGAAGAAGGAGAGCCGGACTACTTAGGATATTTAGTCACTGAAAACCTTATGAATAGCAGTTTCCACTGCTATTGTCAGCACCACATTATTGAATATTGAAGCATGATGAAGAGTGCCAAAATACTGTCAGATATAGTGCCAGAAAATGGTTGGAAGGCACTCAAAATGTGACTTGAGAAGAGATGCCTCTTCAGAGTAGAGCTGACCATGATGATGTGAATGGTGTAAAGCCCTCAAGACTTTCATTTTCTGATGGAACACAATTCAAAATAAAGAGAAACATCTATAAACATTCATTAATAATTGGAACATGGAATGTACAAAGTATGATTCTAGGAAAATTGGAAATCATCAAAAATGAAATGGAACACATAAACATCGATCTCCTAGGCCTTAGTAAGCTGAAATTGACTGTTATTGGCCATTTTGAATCTGACAGGAATGACATATAGGAATGGCATCGCATTCATCATAAAAAGACCATATCAAGATCTGTCCTGAAGTATAATGCTATCTCTGATAGGATAATGTCCATTCACTTATAAGGAAGACTAGTTAATACCATCATTATTCAAATTTATGCATCAACCACTAAAGCCAGTGATGATGAAACTGACGAATTCTACTAATTGCTTCAGTCTGAACTTGATCAAACATGCAAGCAGGATGTATTGATAATTACTAATGATTGGACTGCAAAGATTAGAAACAAAGAGGAAGGTTTCGTGGCTGGAAAATTTGGCCTCGATGATAAACATGTTGCTGGAGATCACATGATAGAATTTTGCAAGACCAATTACTTGTTCATTTCAAATACCTTTTTGAAACAACATAAAAGACAACTATAAACATGGACCTCATCAGATGAAATACACAGAAATCAAGTTGACTACATCTGTGGAAAGAGACGGTAGAAAAGCTCCATATCATCATCCAAAACAAGTCATATGCAAATTCAGGCTGAAGCTGAAGAAAATTAAAACAAGCCATGAGAGACAAAATATGACCTAGAATATATTTCACCTGAAGAATAGATTTGATGCATTAGAAATTAAAGACCGAAGACCAGTAGAGTTGTGGGATGACAACAAGAACATCATACAGGAAGAAAGCAAAAAAGTCATTAAGAAGACAAGAAAAAGGAAAAGATCAAATTATACATCAGAAGAGACTCTGAAACTTGCTCTCCAGTGTAGAGATGCTAAAGCAAATGGAAGGAATAAGGAATAAATGGTTGATATTCAATCATTGCAAGAAATAACATATGATTAAAAGCCAGGGATCCTAAAGGAAGAAGTCCAAAGTACATTGAAAGTATTGGCAAAGAACAAGGGACCAAAAATTAATGGAATACAAATTGAAATACTTCAAAATAGTGATGTGGCACTGGAGGCATTCACTTATCTATGCCAAGAAATTTGGAAGACAACTAAACTACCTGGACAACTGACTAGAAGAGATCTGTATTTGTGCCCATTCCAAAGAGAGATGACCAAACAAAATGTGGAAATCATCGGACAGTATCATTGATATCCCTTGCGAGTTAAGTTTTACTAAAGGTAATAGAAAAATGGCTATAAACATACATTGACAGAGAACTTCCAGAGGTTTAAGCTGGATTCAGAAGAGGATGTGGACCATGGAATATCATTGTTGACATCAGATTGATCTTGGCTGAAATCAGAGAATACCAAAAAGTTGTTTACTTGTGCTTTATTGACTATGCAAAGCTTTTGATTCTGTGGATCATGACAAGCTATGGACAACATTGCAAAGTATGGGTATTCTGGAACACTTATTGTGCTTACAAGGAACCTGTACATAGACCAAGAAACAGTTGTTCGAACAGAACAAAAGAACACTGAATGATTTAAACTTAGAAAAGGTGTGTGCCAGGGTTGTATTTTTCCCCATACTTATTCAATCTGTATGCTGAGCAAATAATCCGAGACAGTGAGTTGCATGAAGTAAAATGTGGCATCAGGATTGGAGGAATACTCAGTAACAGCCTGTAATATGCAGATGATACAACCTTGCTTGCTGAAATAAAGAGGACTTAAAATACATTCTGATAAAGATCAAATACCACACAGATTTCAGTATGGGTTGCATCTCAATGTAAAGGAAACAAAAATCCTCACCACAGTACCAATCAACAACATCCCTATAAATGGAAAAATTATTGAAGTTGTCAAAGACTTCATTTTGCTTGAATCAACCATTAACACTCACGGTAGCAGCAGTAAAGAAATCAGATGACATATTGCATTAGGCAAATCTGCTGCACAAGACCTTTTTAAAGTGTTGAAGAGCAAAGATATCATTTTGAGGACTAAGGTGCACCTGACCTAAGCCATAGTATTTTTAATAATCTTATCTGTGTTGGAAGGCATACCATAGAAGAACTGATACATTTGAGTTATGGTATTTGAGGAGAATATTACAAAACCATGGACTGCTAGAAGAACAAACAGATATGTGTTGGAAGAAGTACAGTCAGAGAGCTCCTTGGAATCCAGGATGGCTAAACTTTGTCTCATACTTCGGACATATTATCAGGAGGGTCCAGTCAGTGGAGAAGGAAAGCATGTTTGGTAAAGTGGAGGGATGGAGAAGAGGAAGACCCCAGAGATGGATTGGCAAGTGGTGGCACTAATGAGCTCAGGCATATCAACGATGTGAGGTTGGCCCAGGACCAGGCAGTGTTTTGTTCTGTTGTGCATAGGGTTGTCATGAGTCAGTACCAATTAGATGGCACTTGACAATATTCAGTGAGGAATTTACCTTACCCACTGATTTTAAAACTAAACACACCCATGGAAGTTTGTAAGCCAGTTACTTCAGGCCTTTATGTTGTTGTGTTAAGTGCTGTTGAGTTGGTTCCAACACATAGCAACCCTGTATAGGGTTTTCTGAGGAGCAGCTGGTGAGCTTGAATCGCTGACCTTGTGGTTCAAATTGACTTTGTAGTCCAGCTCATTAACCCACAGCACCACACATAGTCCCCCCATTTTTGATAGCCAATATCTAAATTGCCTGTTTCTGTCAACACAGTACACTGAGAAGATAAGCATGTTACTTGATAAGGAGAATCTTCCATTCTGGTTGGAATTTTGAGCAACTGCATCTGTAAGCAAAAGTCTAGTATATCAAATTGTAGCTATTTACATAAGATCACAGTATCGAACACCTTTATTTTCCTCTGATCGAGTACTGATCATCTGAGCTCTAGCCATCCAATCTTGGTCAAATTGGTACCAGCTGCAAGTCTGGGAGTTTATATCACCCTGCAATTCAGACAAGCTGGCTCCTTCACTCTCAGCCCTAGCCCCCAGGGGCTAGGTCAGTGCCCATGGGCTTGGATGTTCATACAACTCCCTAAACTTCAGACCAGCCAGCCCTTGCTCTTGTCTCTGTCATCTCAAGGTCAACGGGTACCAATGGGACATATCCAAACTTAGCTTGTGTCTTCATTGCTGCATTTCCCCCACTTTCACTCACATGTATACCTAGACCCAGATGGTCACCAGCAAACGTACTAGACTGATCATGGATTCTCTTTAATTTTCAGTCTTAGAAGGGGGCTTTACAAATGGGATGTTTTGAGTACATGTGCTTTCTACAAACACATGTACAGGAAGCTGTCATTGATCTCAAGATCCTAAAGCTATTTGCAATAGCCTCATATGCATGTGAAAGATGGACAATAAATAAGGAAGGCCAAAGAAGAATTGCTGCACTTGTGTTATAGTATGGCAAGTACCATGGACTGCCAGAGAACAAATAAATTTGTGTTGGGAGAAGTACAGCTGAAATGCTTCTTAGAAGCCAGCATGATGAGACTTTGTCTCTCATAGTTTGGACATATTACCAGAAGTGACCAGCCCCTGGAGAAGGACATCATGCTTGGTAAAGTGGAGGGTCAGTGAAAAAGAGGAAGGCCCCCAATTAGATGGATTGGTAAAGTGGCATCAGCAATGGGATGAAGCCTAACAATAAAAATGAGGATGGTGCAGGATCAGGCAGTTTTTCATTCTGTTATGCATAGGGTCACTATGAGAAATAATTGGATAATGCCTAACAAAAATAGCTTCTGTGAGTGTTGATTGTAGATCCAAGCAAAATTAAGTCTTTGACAACTTCAATCTTGTACCTGTTTATCATGACATTGTTTATTGGTCTATTTGTGAGGAGTTTTGTTTTCTTAATATCGAGATGTAATCCATACTGAAGGCTGTAGTATTTGATCTTCATCAGTAAATATTTTAAGTACTCTTCCTTTTCAGCAAACAAGGTTGTATCATCTGCATGTCACAGGTTGATAATAAGTTTTCCTCCAATCTTGATGCCACATTCTTCTTCATATAATCCAGCTTCTCAGGTTAGTAGCTCACCATACAGATGGAATAAGTATGCTAAAAGGATATACAGCTCTGACACACACCTTTCCTGATTGTAAGCCATTCAGTATCCCATTGTTCTATTCTAACAACTGTCTTTTGGACTATGTACAGGTTCCTCATTAGCACAACTAAGTGTTCTAGAAGACCCATTTTTTGCAATGTTATCCATATATTTTTTTTTTTTTTATGATCCACACAGTTGACTATAGTCAATAAAGCACAGGTAATCTTTCTGATATTCTCTGTTTTTAACAAAGATCCATGTGATGTCAGCAGTAGTATCCCTTATTCCACATCCTCTTCTGAATCCAGCTTGAATTTTTGGCAGTTCCCTCTAGATGTACTGCTGTAACTGTTTTTGAATTATCTTCAAAAAAATTTTATTTGAATGTGATATCAGTTATATTATTTAATCATTTTCTCATTCCATGTGTCACCTTAATTTGAAATGAGCACAAATATGGATGTCTTCCAACTGGTTGGCCAGGTAGCTGTCTTCCAAATTTCTTGGCATAGACGAGTGAGTGCCTTCAGTGATGTCTCAGTACGATGAAACATTTCAAGTTTTATTCCATCAATTCCTTGAACATTGTTGTTGTTTTTGTTTTTTTTGCCAGTGTCTTCTGTGCAGCTTCAAATTCTTCCTTAAGTGCCATTAGTTCTTGATCATATGGCACCTCTTGAAATGATTGAACATTGGCCATTTCTTTTTGGTCTCTGCGTATGCCTTCCATCTTCTTTTGTTGCTTCCTGCATCATTCAATATTTTGCCCACAGAACCTTTGAATGTTATTACAAGTCAAGACTTGATTTTTTTCTTCATGTCTTTCTACTTGAGAAACGGTGAGTGCATTCTTCCCTTTCTGTTTTCTTACTCTAAGTCTTTGCACATTTCATTATAATACTTGACTTTGTTTTCTTGAGCTGCCCTTTTAAATTTTCTGTTCAGCTCTTTTACTGTCCTGCTTCTTCTAGTCACTATAACTTCTCTGTTATCAAGAACAATTTTCAGAGTCTCCTCTGGCATCCATTCTGGTCTTTTTTTTTTTTTTTTTCCTGTCTTTTTAATTACCTTTTGTTTTAAATTATCATGTTCTTGATGTCTTCTCATAGCTCCCCCTATCTTTGGTCATTAGTTTCTAACACTTCAAATCTATTATTGAGATGATCTCTAAATTCAGATGGGATATATTCAAGGTTATATTTTAGCTCTTGTGGACTTTTCCTTCTAAAACATCAACTTGAACTTTCTTATGATGGTCTATTTTATATTCAGCTCCTGGCCTTTTTATGGCTGATGCTATTTCCTTCATTGTCTCTTTCAACAGATGTAGTGAGTTTGATTCCTGTGTGTTCCATCTGGTGAGGTACAGGGTTACAGTCAACTTTTATGTTGTTGAAAAAAAGGTTCTACAATGAATTGGTCTTGCAAAATTCTATCATATAATCTTCAGCATTGTTTCTATCACCAAGACCATATTTTCCAACCACTTATCCTTCCTCTTTGTTTTCAATGATCATATTCCATTACTAGTAATGATCAGTGAATCTTGATAGCATGTTTGATCAATTTTAGACAGAAGAAATGAATAGAATCCTTCAATTTCATCATCACCGGCATTAGTGCTTGGTGTATAAATTTGAACAATAGTGGCTGGTTATGTTTCGTGGAATAAGTTCCAACTCATAGTGACCCTGTGTAGCATTTCTGAGGCCATAAATTTTTACAGAGCAGAAAGCATCACCTTTATACCATGAGCAGTTGGTAGATTTGAACTGCTGACCTTGTGGTTAGCAGCCTACTGCACTACCAGGGCTCCATGGTCTTCCTTGTAGGCATATGGATATTATCTTATCACAGACAGCATTGTATTTCAAGATAGATCTTGAAATGCTCTTTTTAATAATAAATTTGATGCCATTCCTCTTCAATTTGTCATTCCTGCCATTGTAAATCATATAATTGATTTAAAAAAAGGCTGATCCCTGTCTGTTTCAGCTTACTAATGACTTTATGAATTCCATGTCATTTTTGACAACTTCCAATTTTCCTAGATTCATACTTTGTACATTCCACATTCTGGTTATTCATGGATGTTCATAGTTGTTTCTCCTCATTTTGAGTTGTGCCACATCAGCAAATTAAGGTCCTGAAAGTTTTGCTCCATGAACATCAACAAGACCAAGTTTACTTTGAGGAAGGAGCTATTCCCCAGTAATAGTTTGAGTGCCTTCCGATCTGAGGAGATCATTTTCTGGCACTATATCAGACAAGGTTTTGCAGTATTTATAAGATTTTCAGTGACAAACCCTTCAGAAGTGGTCCACCTCTCCTTCTGCCTAATCTGAAGCTTAGCTGGGACCTGTCCACCATGGGTGACCCTGCTGTTATTTAAAATACCTGTTTCATAGCTTCCAGCATCATAGCAATATACAATCCACCACAGTATGACTAACTGAAAGACTACTGATGGAGGAAGTGAATTAGGGACATGAAATTGGGTCCCCAATGAATGTAATATGTCCTTTCTGAAGTACCTGAATGGTTGTAATCTGGGTTTACCCAAATTGATGACCCCTCAGTGTCCTCTACCCCCCCACTACCATACCCCACTCCCAAAGTCTATTTTTATTATAAGATATGCCACCTCTTGCTGTTATTAGGTGATCGCCCAGGATGTACGCAAGGAAAGTCCTCTGCTGTTCAAGTTCCGGGCCAAATTTTACCCTGAGGATGTATCTGAGGAATTGATCCAGGATATCACTCAGCGCCTGTTCTTCCTGCAAGTGAAAGAGGGCATTCTCAATGATGATATTTACTGCCCCCCTGAGACTGCTGTGCTGCTGGCTTCTTATGCTGTTCAGTCCAAGTATGGTGACTTCAGTAAGGAGGTGCATAAGACAGGCTACTTAACTGGTGACAAGTTGCTGCCCCAGAGGTAAGCTGACATCCTGGTAGCCTTTTCCCTTGCTAAAAGGAGCTATGTCTCAAGGCTGATCAATTCCTGAAACCCAGGGCTTCCCAATCTTATCTTCTCCATTAGGGTCTGTCTGAGAATCATGTTAATGCTGCTTAGAGAGACCCATTTGCATATGGTATTATATTCTATTGTTTCTCTGTTTCTCGAAATAAAGAGCTACCCCCAACCCATCTACCTGATTGTAGAACTTCATTATCTCGGAGCAGGGTATATAGAACCAGAAATGGATCCCACCCTCCACCCCCATTTCCTTGTTCTATTTTTCAGTCCTTTTAGACCTCTTATATCAGAGTTTCAGGAAGGAGAGAGAGAAAAGACACAAGCTGGAGATAGTGGGATCTCAAATACCTTCTAATATTGATAAGCAGTGGCCAGAGCTGTTTGGTTCTATAAATGTCAAACAAGAAAGCTCTCAAACACTCATTATTGTTGTTCTAGCTTCATGACAACTCAGAAAATGAATAAAGTAGGCATTATCATTATTTTCTGGTTAAGGTGCTTGCACTGACTTGCCTGAACAGCTCCCACAGCTCCTTGAGGCAGAGCCAGACCTCAAACTTTTTTTTTTTTTTTTAATGCTTGGTTTTCCCACTGCATTCCTGGCAATTTCCATGGACTTTTAGATTAGGAAGAAAATCCTTACCTCACTCAGGGAACCTTAGTCCCACTGGGACTGTGGCACATATGCAGCCTACTAGGGGAAGTGATTATATCCTGAGATGCTACTTGAGTCATTGCTGTGACATCTGAGATAACATACTTAAAACAAGCTTTTTTTTTTTTATCATCTTGTAAATCTGGGAGGTTAGGTCTGTTAACTTCTCTCAAAACCATCTGGGCTCAGTTCTCTGTTATGTAGCTATAAGTTGTCCACCTATTTCTGAACAATATTCTCACATCTGCAAACTATTGGTACCAAGAAGATATTGGCAAGAATGTGCATAGCTAAAAGAAAGCCCATTCTTACTTTTAGTCACCCAAGTCAGCACTGACTTGATACTGTGCTTAGAGACCATAACACATTATTGGATATTCTGGTTAAACACAAAGGAAGGTGTTTCCATTGTCTTTCTTGGTTGCCCATTCTTGTATTTTACCTACCTATTAGTTCCTTAGGTCTAATTTACAACCTATCTGCTGTAATTTCAGTCTGCTTCCAGTGTGACCTCAGTGGTTTTATTTCACATCCTCTTTGTATAAGCTAAGTGGGCTTTCCTTACTCCCTTCACATAAGCTATATGCTTTAAACTGTTCAACATGCATTGTCTTTCCAGGGTTCTAGAGCAGCACAAACTCAACAAGGACCAGTGGGAGGAGCGGATCCAGGTTTGGCATGAGGAGCACCGAGGCATGCTCAGGTAAAGTCCACCCTAGCAGTTGTGGGCCCTACCTGGCAAGGAGAATGAGAGTTTGTTCTCAGGAGAAAAGGCAGATGACTAGAGAAGCCAGAGTATATTGAGGGGATGGACATGGGCGGACAGGAATTATGTGCACAATTTATGATTGAAATTAAAGATTCGAAAACACATCAGGTCTTATAGAAGGACTTTTTTTTTTTTTTCTTTTTGAATAATGGGTGGCAACTGGTAGACCAGCTTTAGCCATATAAAAGAAGGAAATGGGGGAAGGAACTCTCTAAGCATGGCAAACCATTTGGGGGTTGTTTAATAGTGGAACAAATCTTTGTAATTCTGCCATAACCACCTCATCTGACCTCTGCTAAGAATGTGCCTACATGATGTAATGAATGGGAGGAAGAAGATTGCTTGTATATGACAGCCAATATTCTGGAAGTGAGCATGGTTCAGTCCACCCCATTCCCCTTGTGAATCTCCGACCTTAAGTTCTTGATAGAAAATTTTGCTTGTCTCCCTTCCCACCCCTAATGACAAGGCCCTCATCAGAAGCACAGAAACTGCAGGCTTTATATCTCCCTGTGCCTGATTCTTTCCCCTCTGTGATTTTCCTTTCTGTGTTCTTTAGGGAGGATGCTGTCCTGGAGTATCTGAAGATTGCTCAGGACCTGGAGATGTACGGTGTGAACTACTTCAGCATCAAGAATAAGAAAGGCTCAGAGTTGTGGCTGGGGGTCGATGCTCTGGGTCTCAACATCTATGAGCAGAATGATAGGTATAACTCAGACCTCTCTTAGTTTATTTGGACAATTTTGGAATCTAAGTGTGACCCCTCACCACAAAACAGGATTATACCTCCTGGGGCACAACTTAGTTATTTTGTTACCTAGTTTAGTCCATCCCAGGTTATTGTATAATGTTCCTTAGGCCCCCAGATTTTGCATTGTTGTTGTTAAGTGCCGCTGAGTCAGTTCTAACCCATAGCAACCCTGAACAGGGTTTCCGAGGCTGTAAATCTTTATGGGAGCAGAAAGCCTCATCTGTCTCCCACGGAGCAGCTGGTAGTTTCGAACTGCTGACCTTCCGGTTCACAGACCAATTTGTAACCACTACGCTACCAGAGCTCCTTAAATTAACTAAACATTTATTGTCCAATATGATAGGAACATATAGTGACAAAACATTTGGAATGTGGCTAGTATGAATTAGATGTGCTTTAAGTGTAATATATACACTGGATTTTTAAGACAGTATGAGAAACGATGTAAATTATCTCATTAATATTTTTAAATATATTGATTTGAATGTTGAAATGATAGTATTTTAGATAGGTTAAATAAATAATATTATAATTAATTTTACCTATTTTTTTTTTTTTACTTATTTTAATGTGACTGCTAAAATATTTTAAATTTCATATGTGGCTTTCATGCTATTTATATAGGACAACACTGGCCTAGAAAATCTACCTTGTCATCATTTGTAATTGATCCCAAATCCCATGTGATGAATAAGTGACTTTTGGTCTATAATCCCTCTTACAGTCTCGTATCATTTACTTATTTTACTTTTTATTTTTTTATTCTACACTTGGTGATTAATAGATTAGAATGTTCCATGTAACTCCTAAGTCCAGTAGTTCATCATTTACCTTCCTTCCAACTTTTACAACCTTGGTTGGAAGAATTTCACTTAAATAGGATTGGTACTCTACTTAACATCTCTTGAGAGAATGCTTCAAGGTCTATGCCTCAATTAAAAATACCACACATACACACAAATCTTCAGAATTGGAGCAAGAAATACTATGTTGGTTATGCTATCAGGAGGTCCTTTCTGCACCCTCAATGCTGGCAGCTGACCTGGGGGTGTATGATGGCTTTGACTGAACTGGCAATTGGTCTTCTCTTTCAAGGAAGTTGCAAGGGGAGGAGGGAAAGGCACCAACCCACTATGTCCTTCTTGTACCTATCCTAATGTTCTTGGTCTCCGTTTCTACAGATTAACTCCCAAGATAGGTTTTCCTTGGAGTGAAATCAGGAACATCTCTTTCAATGACAAGAAATTTGTCATCAAACCTATTGACAAAAAAGCTCCGGTAAGTGACATGTCTTTCTGACCAATGCAAGTATTTGTTAAGGCCTGAATAATTGCTTGGAGTAATCATCTCATTGAATTTTACTCCCCATTTTCTGTTTTTTTTTTTTTTTTTTTAATGGGTAGGAACAGAAGGCACAAAAAGAATTTGGGGGTGGATGGAAATGATAGATGTTAATGTCAAGAAATGGCCAGGAGGCATCCTGTACCTGGTGCCTGTACCTGTGTCTCAATAGAAGCATGGATGGAGAGAGAGAGCATAGGCAGTCTAAGTGCTGCTTCTTTGCCACTGCTTTTTGCTTTTCTGGGGCTCTTGGGTAGAAGTAGCGTGTATTTTATCGTTTCAGACCCCTGGATCCCAGAAAGTAGAAACTTTTTACATATGATTTATTTTTAATTGTGGAGAAACTTCAAAGCATGGAGAACTCCATATCCAAAGATGATCCTCTAAACTTGCTTTTTGCTGTAACTTCCCTGTTATCCTCACAGACTTCTCCCTGGAGAAATGTGGGAACCAGAAAATCCTGTGGAGCATTCATTCCTCTAACCAACTTGACACACTTCTCCCCTACTCAGTTGCCTGTGACTGACAATACCAGAAAGCAAATTATTGGGAGTAGGATAGAAAACTGAGATTAGGGTCCACTACTCTGGTGTACCTTTTGCAACAAGGACCAGTGACCCTTTTCATGAAGGCATACCTATTTTCCAGCCCTAAGTTTTCTGAAATTTCTCTACTTAGGCACTGTAAAATGTTGTCTCCTTAAACCCTCAACAACATTGTCAGACAGGTAGGTAAGATACCTGGTTTTGCACTTGATGAAACTGAGACTCAGAAAGGTGGAGTGATTTGCTCAAGATCATACAGCTTAAAATGGGACTCAAACTTAGGTCATTTGGCCCCTAGAGCTTGTGTTCCTTTCACTACACTTCAAGCAATGTGAAACAGTAGCAGTTTGAATTCAGTGTCAGGGAAGGCGGTGTGGTGGTTAACCATCAGCTGATGATCTTGATCCATTGGCATTTTTAGTAATAAACCCAAATGTGCTGGATTTTCTTGTGTGTTTATTGCTTCTCTGTTTCAAATGGTAAGTAACAAAGTCAACTTAAACCAAGGACTTAATAAAAAAAAACAAAAAACATATCGAGCAATGTATTTATAAACTGTCTTGCTCTGAAAAAGATTTAAGATATAATTTCTCGAGGCTACAGAAGTTGTCCAGCCATCTAACTGCACCTACCCAGGGCCTCCTGTCCAGCAGAATCTCTAATTAGCAGATAAAGTATGTTATGATCCTTCAACTGGTTATTTTTTATAACCAAAGGTTGAAAGAAATTGTGGTTTGGCGGAAAGAGCACTGGTTTTAGAGTCAAGTAGTCTAGGGTCCAGTTTTGGCTTTGCTACTAACATGGTATCTGCCCTGGGTGAGTCACTTCACCTCTCTAATACATAGTCTTCCCATCTGTAATGTTGTTGTTGTTGTTGTTGTTAAGTACCGTCGAGTCGGTTCCGACCCATAGAGACCCTGTACAGGGTTTCCGAGGGTGTAAATCTTTACGGGAGTAGAAAGCCTCATCTTTCTCCCGCGGAGCAGCTGGTAGTTTCGAACCACTGACCTTCAGGCTCTCAGCCCGATTTGTAACCACTACGCTACCGTAATACAAGTGAATTATATGTAAGAATCTTTCCAGTGCTTTTGGACTTAGATTTTCAGAAGAAAGAAGCTCATTTTCACGTATTCCTCCCAACTCTTCATGGTTGCTGGTTTCCCACTAGGACTTTGTCTTCTATGCTCCCCGGCTTCGGATTAACAAGCGCATCTTAGCCCTGTGCATGGGAAACCATGAGCTATACATGCGTCGTCGCAAACCTGACACCATTGAGGTTCAGCAGATGAAGGCACAGGCCCGGGAGGAGAAGCACCAGAAGCAAATGGAGCGGTGAGTGCTGGAATGAGGTCCAGGTTTGGGGCAAAGAAGGTTCTCAAAGGTGCCAGGCCTGCTAAGTCAGGACATAAAGCCTGAATTCAGAACTGGAAGGACGAAAGATCTGTGTAGAGAAGACCTCTCCTTCTCCAAAGAAGTTTCAAGGCACCCCTTTCCTGGGAAGCAGGCATCAGCAACCTAGGCTTCCAGAGGCTCATAGAAGGGAGGGACATTTTTGTGTATGGACCTAATGTCATTGCTATGCTAGGTGAACTTTAGGTTTCTTCAGGCTCTCTGATCAGTATAGTGGCAGTAGCTCCATGTACATTCAATCTAGGAGTTGTTATTAAGTGCCGTTAAGTTGGTTCCAACCCATAGAGACCCTGTATAGGATTTCCGACGAGCAGCTGGTGAGCTTGAACTGCCATTCAAACAGCTTTGCAGTCTGGTGTATTAACCCACAGTGCCACACAGAGGGCTCCATGTGAATTTAAATTAGGAGTTTGCAGGTTTTTGTGAGTTGAACTGAGCAGAATTTTCTTAAGAAGCCCCATTACTACTCAAAGTGTAATCTGCAGCCCAGAAGGAGTAGTATAACCTGTAAACTTGTTAGAAAAACAACAGCAACAAAAACTTACCCCAGACCTACTGAGTTAGAGTCTGCATTGTAAGATTCAGTTGATACCTAGGTACATTAAGATTTGAGGAGCATGACTCTATTAGGTATTCTGTCATAAAGAGTTTAGAACCTGAGTAAGCTTCTAAGTAAGCTTGTAATAATGACTACAAGAGAGTTGACCCCAAAGTTCACATTTATTCAAAGAAAAAATATTTTTTTACCCAGATTGAGGGAAAATTTGCAGAGGTATATCTGTCAGGAACCCTGTTCTCTAGGGCTTCATAGTCCAGTAGAAGCGAGAGAGGAAAAATAATTTATGCATAACTGATCATGGTACAGATGCTGTGCATTCATATATTCAATAATTATTTACTGAGTAAGAAACAAAACAGACCAAAATCCCTACTGTCATGGAACTGCCATTCTAGTGGGAGGGGGCAGATATAATCAATGAGCAAATTGTATAATATATAAGATGATAAGTACTATGGAGAAAAATTATAGGGAAGAGGGATATGGGAGAGGTAAGCCAAGTAATCTGAAGACTCAGAGGTTGAAAAAGACATCTAGACAAAATGGACAATAAGGCCCCATGGAATAGTTACTGGGGCAAGAAAAAGCAAATATCCTAGATTTGCAACAAATTCTGGGAAGACTGCACTTAGAGCTGGGATTCAGAGGACAGGCAGATTTAAGCCTGCGGGATGATGACTTTACCACAGAATTCAACCAGACTTGAAGTACAGCATTCCAGCACAGTGCCAAAAGTTGTCACCCTGTAACTGTAAAAGGTAGACAAGGTAGGCTTGTATATCATCAGAACTCACCTAAATCATGAGGATTAAGAATAATGATCAGCACAAAGTTGGTTCCTATGAGGTGAAGACCAGACATACCTCCAGTCTCCAATTTGTTCTCCGTTTCTTACACCAGCTGTCCCTTCCACACACACTGCTTCTCTGATGAGTTCTATAATTCATTGTAATGGCCATGCAGAACTCACAGTTAGTATTCACAGTTATGAAATTTATTAGAGAAGTAACAGGAATCAGGATCAACTTGGAAGTAATAAGAACAACTCAGGATCAGCATTAGGAATCACATAGGCAAGGTTTGGAAGATTTGCCAAAGAAAAAGCACATACCTCCCTTCTTTAATATAGGGCACCTTCCAACCAGGATAGTTCTCTCAGCTGCTCCCTTATGTGTTAGAAGGCTACTCTTGCCATGCTAGCAGGCATCTCTGGATAGGTCTCTGAGCCTTAGGGATGCAGCTATTACCAGACCTGGAGCATCTGCCACTATCAAAGGCAGGCCAGTTCAACCCCCATACTGCTGCTTGCTTTGTTTGGGTATTCATACGCATAGGCCTGGCTTATGACTTTATGCAGCAATCATAAGCAGCAATCCCTGGTGGCATAGTGGTAACACATTGAATTGCTAACTGCAAGGTCAGTAGTTCAAATCCACCAGTCATTCTACGGGAGAAAGATGAGGCTGTCTGCTCCCATAAAGATTTACAGCCTTGAAAACCCTATAGAGGGTTGCTATGAGTCGGAACCACTCAATGGCACAACATCACCTCTGTTAGAGGCCTCTTGCCTGGAGGTGCCCATCTCTAGTCCCTGGGCCAATTCACTCACTGCCACCATCTGCCAGTCTTTTTCCTGCCACTTGTACTACTGCTGTTGTTTCTCTGCCGCTCAGCTGTACTGTGCATGCTGCTGTCTTGTACTGACTCCAGCATTATAACTCTTGACCCATATAACTCTTTTAGGAGGTTCCCAACTCTTCCTGCTCCTTGCCTCTCTCTGTGTGCATCTTCTTTTCTCTCCTCTAAAAACCTCTGCTTATATAAGCAATCTCCTTGTCAACTTCAAAGTATGGCCCTTCCAGCAGGACCACAAACTGACCAATCCCCGCAAGTTTCTCAGTCCTATTAGGTGGGATTTCAAGCTACTGTTTGCATGGCAAATCAACCAATTCCTGCAAGATGTGTAAAATAGACCAATGACAGGGCAGACTGCAGCCCAACCAATTATTTTTTGGTAAAATTATAAACCAAAGGCCAGAAATAAGAGAAATCCAATGCACTTCAACTTTATTAGGCCATTTTACAGGTAGGGAACTAAAGACAAGAGTGAAGAAACAGCATAGCTAGATCACCCAGTGGTAGAACAGGAATTCCAGTTTGGGTCACTTGAATCTGGGACAACAAGGTCATATTGGTCCATGTAGGACTATGTATCCAGTAAGTACAAGGATGTGGAGATAAGGGAGAGTAGTTCAAACTCAAACTCTGGGTATATAGGAAATGTGAATTTCAAGACTTCAGTGAAGTCCTCCTGTCCTTTCCCATCCCCTTCCATTTAATTCTCTAGTGCTCTACTGGAAAATGAGAAGAAGAAGCGTGAGATGGCAGAAAAAGAGAAAGAGAAGATTGAACGGGAAAAGGAGGAACTGATGGAGAGGCTGAAGCAGATTGAGGAACAGACTAAAAAGGCTCAGGAAGGTGAGGCTTGTAGCCTTTTTGGAGATTGGGCTTCACCAGAGTCTGATTTTATGAGCTGGAGATCCCTTTAGCTCATTGTCCAAGGGTGGCCACTGAATAGATACAGGATGGGGTAAGAGGAAGACTGCCCAGAGCCTTCTGCCAGCTGTGCCCTGAGGTGAAGCATTTACAGGGAGGAAACTAGGTGTCCCTTCTTCATCCTACACTTTTCACTACCTTTTACCCTCCTCTGCTCAGAACTGGAAGAACAAACTCGCAGGGCCCTGGAACTTGAGCAAGAGAGGAAGCATGCCCAGAATGAGGCTGAAAAGCTGGCCAAGGAGCGCCAAGAAGCTGAAGAGGCCAAGAAGGCCTTGCTGCAGGCCTCTCAGGACCAGAAGAAAACCCAGGAGCAGCTGGTAAAGCTGTAGGGTGGTCTGAAATTGTGGAACCTGTGTCTTCCCCTCTGTATGTCTACAGCTACCTCAGCCTTCAAGACTGGGTCTTTCTGCCAGGGTACCACTCCACAGGCCTCCAAAAGATAAGTCATTCAGAAAAAGCTGAGAAGTCACCTATGTCACTCAGAAATGGTTGCAACCAGTTCTTTTAAGCCATAGTTTTCATTTCACTTTCTTAACCCCTGGGAATATGATCTGATGACCTGGCAAAGGAAAGGGAGAAAGGAGAGAAATAAAGGGAGTCACACTTAATTGATCACCTGTTGTTCATTAAGTTATCCTTGCAATTTTTTTCCTCCTCTCAGTAACCTTATGGGATTACTCACATGGGATAGTACTCCCAGATGAGGAAATTGGAGCTCAGATAGGTTAAGAGACTTACCAAAGGTCACAGAGTTGTAGCCGAGTAAATAGAACCCATTTATATCTTCTTTGGAAAGATGTTCTCCCTTAAAGCATGTGAAAAACTGTATATGCATTTTTATTTGTTTGGGGGGAGGAGGCTTGAACATCTATATTTTCATCGCAATCTTCAAAAGTTATGTGACTCAGAAGTTAAGAACTTCTAAGTCCAAATACCTTGACATATTTTTTCCCTATACTGTTTAAAGTGGAGGTGAAAGGAACTACAGCCTCATTCTCGTGGGGAAGGGAGATTTGCCCAAGGTGTGAGAATATGTGTTAACTTTTTTCCTTGTTCAGATTCCTTTGCGATACTTTAAAATCTTCCCTATTGTTGTCCTGGGAAAAGTCTTAATGGAGCCCTGAGCAGTCAAAGATAGCAGGGAAAGATCTGCTGCCTCAGGTAGTGATCTCCAAAGCTTTACTAAAGCCCCAACTGTCTAGTAGGCAATACTCAGAGAGACAGAGATGAGGAAGAGACATTTTCTTCAAGAGATCTACAGTCTAGGTGGGAAGCTGTCAGGAAGTAGTTTGGAGGGTTGGAATCAGCTCAATAGCAATCAATGGGTTTGGCTTTTGTTTTTTATAGTAGTATTGAGGATAGGAGCGTTCCACGGGGCATTCTGGGACAGAAGAGGATTGTGCTAAGATTGGAAGGGTAGGGAAAATGGGGCTAGAGTGGAGTGGTCTGGTTAAAAGCCTTCAGGGCAGCAAGAGAGTGGAGCAACAGGTTCCCTGCTGGTTCACTGGGGGATCTGGGACAGAAAACATCTGAGCTCTGAAGCCACCCAGCTCTCATGCTTCCAATTTTTCTATAGGCCTTGGAAATGTCAGAGCTAACAGCTCGGATCTCCCAGCTGGAGATGGCCCGGCAGAAGAAGGAGAGTGAGGCTGTGGAGTGGCAACAAAAAGTAAGGCATGGTGCACAAAGCAATGCATTGTGAGAATAGTATTACACACATAGGCTCTGGCTTCTTTGAATCCTTAGGCTTGAGTGTCCTTCAGCCTTCATTCTTCCCTGATAGCAGGCATCACAAGAGAAGGAGCTCAAGTATTACTTGTACTTCTCAAAATTCCCCAATACCTTAGGAAGTTGGTAAAATTGCTTTTATTTTATAGCTGAGGAAACAAAGAATGAAAATAAAGTGACTAGCCCTATTTGGTGGCTGCCTCTTGGCAGGCATATGCAGGACACTAAAAGTTATATTGGTCTTCCTGTTAATTCTTTTCTCCATTGGTCACTGGACAGGCTCAGATGGTACAAAAGGACTTAGAAAAGACCCGTGCTGAGCTGAAGACTGCCATGAGTACACCTCATGTAGCAGAACCTGCTGAGAATGAACAGGATGAGCAGGATGAGAATGGGGCAGAGGCCAGTGCTGATCTGCGGGCTGATGCCATGACCAAGGACCGTAGTGAGGAGGAGCGTACAACTGAGGCGGAGAAGAATGAACGTGTGCAGAAACACCTGAAGGTATGCAGGCAGTGTGAGGGGGCCAAGGAAACCATGGATTTACCTAGACCATTGTGAATGGATGGACAGAGAACCCTAGTCCAATGTGCTGTCAGAGCATGAGCTTTTCTAAAGTGAGAACTTTAAAGGCAGGCACCCTACTTATTGGAGTCCTGGTGTGGCACTGCAGGATAATGCACTGGACCACAAGGTCCGTTTGAACTGCAAGGTTTTCAGTTTAAATTAACCAGCTGCTCCTTGGAAACCCTAAACAGGGTCACTGTGAATCGGAACTAACTCAATGGCAGTTACCAGCAACAACCCTGCTTATTAATTAGGCCTTGGACCACTTCTTCCTTTATTGGGTCCTGCCTTTAGGACCTGTCTTCTGCACTCTCTCCCCTCCTCACCCACACACACAACTTCCACTCCATTTAGCTCTTATATTCAGAAAATATGTATCTGACGTATTCTTACCTGAATCTTTGGTATATTGTTCTACTTTCAGGGGATACCCACAGTTATGTAGTCTCCCTAAGTTTCGTTTGTTTAATACTTGCCCCCATTGCATTGCAATCCTAACAGAACTGGAAATGACTCTCACAAAGAGAGAGAGAGAAAGAAACTGGTCAAATAAGGGGAGGTAAAATAACAGGAAGCCATTGACCCTTGAATCCTTCTGTCCCCTCACAGGCTCTTACTTCAGAACTGGCCAATGCCCGTGATGATTCTAAGAAGACTGCCAATGATATGATCCATGCTGAGAACATGAGGCTGGGCCGAGACAAATACAAGACCCTACGCCAAATCCGACAGGGAAACACCAAGCAGCGCATTGATGAGTTTGAGTCAATGTAGTAGGCACCTAGCCTCTAGAGTCCCTTCCTTTCTTTTTCCTTGCCCCCATACTCCTGTGTTGTTCTTGTTGTTAAGTGCTGCCAAGTCAGTTAGGACTCATAGTGACCCTGTGTATGGTTTGTGAAGAATGGTTGGTGAGTTTGAATCGCAGATCTTGTGGTTCAAACTTACCTCGATGTCCAGTGCTTTATCCATACTCCCATACCTTTGCCTAATTTACACTGTGCTAGAGCCACTAACTAAAGTATCTCTGGAGTCATATTAAGCATCCAGTGCAGCCATGGGACCAAATCTAATCCCTCGACCCCAACCCCACTTCCCTGGGAAGAAAAAATGGCTCACTGTGGTATCAGTGGTATCCCTTTAGCCTCTCTGCTCCCTTTCATCTGTTAGTAGAGATCACTCCCCCAGATCAGAGGCACTTTCCACTTGATATTGAAAACACACCTTCACTTACTATTGACCTGTGAGCATCAGGGGTGTGGGATAGGTTGAAAGCTAGCCTCCCTCCCCATTACTGTCTTTCTAATCAAGGTCCTGTGACTCAGAGAGTTGGAGTATAACAGGTTTTTTGGAAGGATGCTGGAAATCTGCTCTAGAATGTCGACTGACCTAGGATTTGACCTCCCAGTGTCCATCCCTTCTAGTTATTTAGGCTTTATAGTGATTAGAGGTAAAAGAAATGTTCAGCCATGATTCCATGGACTTAGTTTCTCCTTGGATGGGACAAAGGAGATGGTGCTTCTAAGAGGCTTTACCTACATCCCAGAAGTTCATTGACCTTTCTATACGGCTAGGTAGAACATCCTGTGCCAGTTCCTTATGGGAGTCTAAGCCTATGGGCAGAGGCACCTTATTATCCTGGGTCCTTGGGCAGCTGTTTCTCTTATTAGGATATGTCTCTTCTCCAACCAGAACCGATAGCCCCATTCAGAGATTTTTTCCAAAGGGAGAAGGTGTTCACACCTGGCTTCAGTATTTTTTCCTATTGAGGTTCCCATCAAAGTTACTTGGGCCACAGTTCCTGTTTCAGTGTCATCTAGGTATTTACATGGAAAGCTCTAGATCTTGGTGTCAATTGGTTTAATATGTGGGTGGGTGAAAGGAAGCTAAGCGTGGTGAAAAAAACCCTTGGTCTTTATCCTACATTTGCTCAATCCCCTCAGGTACCCAATAGCCACTTCCCATTACCCACTTTCAGTGTGGTGAATGGGTTCTGCCTCTTTTTGAAAAGCCTTCAACCCTTAGAACTATAAACCAGGGAGCTGCATAAGGGTTCTTGATCCCTTTCACATCCCCATCCCTTGCCTTCACTGTGTGCTCTTTTTCTTTCTACCAGTATTTTATATTCCAGGGGCATCTAGTTCAATATTAATTTCTGCCTATTTTGCTAATGCACCATTAGAAGATATTAGTCTTGGGGCAGGACTATATCGGCCTCATTTCCTTACTATTCCCACACGTGAGAAATGTATACTGTATTATAAAAGCTATCTTGACAGAAATATTATGTAAGAAGCTTTCAGTATTAGTTATGTCACCATAGGTCATACACTCCATTCTTAAAGTACTTAGTATTTTGTTTTTCTCTTCCTGTTTGCCTCTTCCCCAGGGCTTAATCTACAAGTCATTCCTTATAGAACCCACCTGTCTTGTTCCTCCTTCCCTCCCTGCCCAACCTTGGGGTGTTTTGTGTGCTTTGCTATGAGTTATATTGACACTTTCTTGTTGTGATATGCCCTATGTTGGCTAAATTCAAGCCTGAAATTGTAGGGCAACATAGTTGCCTTAGAGGCAGAAACTCACTCCCAGAGTGGCTAAGGAGAAGGGATTATATTTTGTATTCAGAATTTTTTGTTTTTCTTTTTCTTTCTGTGCATTTGGCGGGGTTAAACATTTTTTGGAGGTGTTTATGCTCAACCCATGTTCTATTTCAGTTCCAATAAAGTTTAGGAAGACTGCACTGTGATTTGATCTTTCTTTTTAATATGGATGTGTGGTTGTGAGATACTGCAAAATGGTTTCCACTCTGTACACAACTTTCCCATTCCTGATATTCCATCCTCACATCCTTTGGTGATGGATATGACTATCTGTATTCTATAAAGTAGAGAATAGATTTGAAAAAGTGAAGATATTCCTAAGGTTACAGAACTGTCTGACTTAATAGCCTATGCCATTTCCACAGCTCCAGAACAATTTTTCCAGTATGGATGCTGGCCCAATATTGGTTATGGTGATGCACCTGAATTTGCTTGGCCTAGTAGTTGCTTGTAAGGGTTTATTTGTTTTTTGGTATTTCTGGACTTTTCAGGAGGTCAGGCCCTGTCCTGCCTTTCTCCCTGTTGGAAAGCCCTCTAGGTTTGTCCCACCTCCTACTACCTTAATATATTGCAGTGCTAATAAAGGTCAGTGAAACTACTATGGGTTCTGTTGTGAAATATGGTAGGGAATGAAGTATGATGTGAAGATGGAGAATGTATATATGTGTATAAATCTTGGGGAGTTCTAAAACATGTAAATTTTGTAGATTAGATATGGTTATTCCTATTTTACAGATGAAGAAACTGAGGCCCAGGTGAACGTTCCAGGCTGGCTGGCCCTGCCACTATTACCAGCTTTATTCTTGATAAGCTAATACTTGGTAGGGAAATGAGTCTTAGTTCCTCTACAACATTGAGACCAAATTTCTCAAATTTGTCTGCACATTCAAATCACCTAGAGACCTTTTAAAGATTTCCAAACCCAGACTGTCACATCAGATCAATTAAATTATATCTCTAGTAATAAGACCGTATCTCACTTTTAGTAGAACAATAGTGCCAATTTAGGCAATCTAATTATGAGCCTATTCTCTTATGACCTGTAGGACATATATTGCCCATCATTTTCAGCGTCTCAGGTTTTTTGGGAATGTGCTATCCCAATTGGAGTGTATGATGCTAACTGATGGGAACCTCTATAACTCTGTGAATCCGAAGAAATGGGCCTCACTCCACTAATCCTATTGACAAAGTCTATTTGAGATATATGTGTCCCTCCCACATAATTGTATTAAAATCCATACTATCTCATTTCCCCCCTTTGATTTCAGCATGCCTTTCATTACTGAAAATACATGGTCTCAACAAACTTCAAAGCAATGAATCATTTGGTCATGAAAGGATTAACTGCTATATTATATCTCCTTCCTACCATCAGGTGTTAGGGAGAAGATGGGCATGTACTAGGAAGAACACTTTCATTTCTAAAGTTGCAGATAGAATTCTAGGGTCCTTGAACCTCCTTTGCTAATGATTATCCCAACTGTTATTGCCTTGGGGAATAAAAGACCTATAAGTCCCCTCCAAACTCAACCTGAAGATGTCTGATTTTATAGTCTGTGTATATCAGGCTGTATATGTGTAAATAATTTATTGTCTAAACAAAAGACAGTTGGGCCTCTGCTCCCAGGAAGATACATGTGGTAGGCAGAGTAATGTTCCTCCTTCTCTTCCACCCTAAAAATGTCTATATGCTAGTTCCTTGAACCTGTGAATCTGTTACTTTACATAACAAAGAATTTGGGGATATGAGTAAACTAAGGATTTTTAAATAGGGAAATTGTTTATCTTGAATTATGTGGTGGGCTCCATATAATCATAAGGAACCTTAAATGATAGAGAATCAAAGTTAAAGAGATGTAAAGACGCTAATGTAGCTGACTTTGAAGATGGAGAAAGAGGCCATGATACGAGGAATGCAGTCAGCCTCTAGAAGTTGGAAAAGGTAAGGAAACAGATTCTATTCAAGAAGGAATGCATCCCTACTAACACTTTGACTTAGTCCAGTGAAACCCATTTGAGAATTCTGAGGTCCCAAACTGTAAGACAAACATGTTTTCTTAAGCCACTAATTTTGTGATAATGTGTTATAACAGCAGTAGAAACTAATACAGTATATCTATTCCTCCTGATATCTACAGCTAAATACCCTGTACATTATATATAAAACAAACATAAAAGGATTTTGAAAGATAGAAGAAGGCAGACTGGCTAAGAACTCTGGTGACTTGAAAACAGTACAGCAGTGTGTTTCCTTTTGTGTTTCTTTTGTGCCTTATATATTCCTGATGTGGGGCTTTGGATAGGCACTGGACTACAAGGTCAGTTTGAATAGCATGGTCAGCAATTCAAACCCATTATCCACTCCTTGGAAATGGCATACAGGGTTGCTGTGAGTTGGAACTGACTCAATGGCACTTAACAGCAACAGTAACAATTCCAAATTTGGAACTGAAGAAGCCTGCAATCTGGAAACACTGTTGAGTACAGACAATAAAAGTCCTAGCAAAATCCTGTTCTCTCTATCCAAAGGACCAAGAAAACTTTTAGACAGTAGCCTCTCTACTTAACCCTAGCACCACAGGAAAACAACAACAACAAAAAAATAGGACTGCAGCCTCACCACCATCCATATCAGCACAGAAATAGTGGAGAGTCTAAAAGACCACCCTCACCAGGCTGTAATAAGGTGCCCAAACCCCTATTTCTACCTACTTTGGGGTGTCAAAGAAAGATGAGTAGAAAGCCAGGATGTGTATTCCTGCAGGCCAATAATAAACCCAATATCCAGTGAAGTCTGGAGGACTTCCACTCCACCATGCTGGTATGTGTGGAGTCCTGGTAGAGTCAAGACTTCCTCCAATAACAAGCAGCAACACGCCCATCCTTATTCTGCTACAGTGTCAGTGGAAGCCATGTGGTGGGCAGTAACAAGCCACCCTGCCCCTCCCAGCTAGAGAGATGATGGGATACTCAGGTAATAAAAAGAATGAACTATTTGTACATTTACCAGTTTAGATGAATCTCCAAAGAGTTATGCTGAACGAGGAAAACAAATTGAAACAGTTATTTAGTATTCTCAAAATGACAGTGTTACTAGATTAGTGGTTGTCAGCAGTTAAAGATGGAGGTGGGTAGGAAAGGAATGCATGTGAGAAATGGATGTGGATATAATAAAACAACATAAGGGATCCCTAGTGATATTCTATATGTTTTTTGTTATTATGGAAAG